TATTATTGTTTAATGTATTACTACCAGTTTAACTTGATGAAAAAGTAAATATCTACATAATTAACCTATCAGTGATCAAACATAAAGAAGGCTAAATTACTCTGTAACTATTATAAAATAATTTTATATATAAATTTGTCATATGTGATATGTGATATTTAACCACTCTTTTTGCATCGAATAATATCGTCTCTGCTGAAAATGGAATGATTTTTGTACCATTTTATCTTTTCTGATAATTTATAATTTTTCTTTTTTAAAATAAAATAAAAAAGTGACATAATTATTATTTACAATTGGTATTTGATTAGCAAAAAATGCTATCTGTAGGTAAATTGAACTAATCGGTTTCATGCAATTATCGGATTGCATGTTTTTTTTTTTTTGTGTGATATTATTATAATTTATAGTTTAATTCATCTATACATAGCATTTTTTGTTAATTAAATATTGTCATTTTTATCATTTTTATATAAAATATACAGTTTTATACGTTTTCAGAATTTATATTAGAAATGCTAATACAGATTTGCTTATGAATAATCGTAGTGATAATCCTTGATAATAATATTTGGTTTATTCATACTCTTTATTATTAATGAAAGCAGTAGATTAAATCGGTTTCAGTTATATTAAATTAAATCGATCTTAATGCTATCAAAAGTTACTGATTTTAATTTTATTTTATCTATTTAAATCCAAAATGTTATATATTCTCATTTTTAGCAGATTCATAAATTTATGCCTCATATGCTCATTGATTTTAATAATATATTATTATAAGAAAACATTCCATAACGCATTAATGTGTTAAGAAAACATTCCATAACGCATTAATGTGAAATATAAAACATAAATTTAATCGACAAATTACAGATGACTGAATGGTGTGTCGAGAATTTGCGTGATTGTCAGGTTTATTTATTTATTTTTTTGTTCTATGTTAACTGCTTGCTCTACAGTATTCCATTTTTCAAACATTTTCCAAAATTCATGTTATCATTTGTGAGAAATATAAGAATTCAATAGGCAAAGATTTTATGACAAAGAAGTGAAGGATGCAAAAATTATTTCGAAAGAAAGGAATTGGAAATTGAAATTTTGACGTATTGTAAAATTTAAATTTTTGTTTAAAAAGATATCATTATTTTTCCATATTCCATGTTATTTCATTTCCATTTCAGTTTTAAATGATTAGACATTTAATTTATCATAAAGGAGCAGCTGTGTAAAAATCTTTAACATAAATAAAGTAAAAGTTCATTTTAGGCCTGGAAAACTGAAGGTATTCAAATTTCAACCAATTCTAATGAAGCAGCACGTCTATTTGACGCTGTTTTGCGTCAGTACGTTTCTTGGTGTGAGTGTGCTCAATTAGATGGAATGAATAAAACGCTTAGCAAAATGATTGAAGCAGAACCAAGTGCCAGTAAGATTATAATATATCGGTTTTTAACTTGCACTTAACATATTAAATGATAAAAAAAATGATATGAAAGTGGATCTCATTTGCTAATTTTATCATTAAATAACACTCTCTCGATTATCTTATCAATATCTCGTTTATGTTCCAACTATTTGCATATTTTAAAAGTATATTTTTGTCATTTTTATTAAATATTCTAATAAATATTTGATCATTTTAAAATTACAATCAATGCTTTAGTAATGAGTCGAGTGATATCGTTGGGATTGGAAGCAATGGGAACAGGACGATCGGTACGACTGGACGAAAATTATCGAAATGATTTGGAACAATTAGTAAAAGATGCATGTAAATATGGTACCACATATGAGAAGAATCATGCAAAAGCTATTCATATGTTCGCTAATGAGTTGGTTGTTATCCTTTTAATTTTTTAATCAATCAGTTAACTAATGGATTAAATTATCACCATAAGCAGAATTTAATTTCTCTTTAAATTTTATATGTGAAATTATTATTATCATTTCAAAATTATCATTTCAATAAATCCATTCAATGTTACAAAAAAAGATGATAGTAAAAGAAATCCAATTCTTATTTTTCTCATTGAGTGTTCTTCTTTCATTACAATAACATTTTA